AGATAATAGGGATTTATCAGTGCCTTCTCATGTACAATTGCCCAATTGAAAATGAGTTCAGTTTTTCCCAATTTTGCAGTATTTTTTGCCAATTGGTGAACAATGCTTTTATTTTTAATTATCTTGAAAAAACACAAAGTAAAATTGTCAGACCGTCTGAAATTTTCATCTATTTAACTCATTTAGCAAAGCTACAGTCATAACACATGTTTTAAAAACACTGTAAAAACATCGCCAACTTTTAATCCGAATTTCCTCCGTTTTTCTAAAAATGATGATATTGTGTAATTATATAGATTTATTAAGTTATTTCCACCTATTCAATTGATCTTTGAGTGAATGGTAAGGACTTTGGGCATTATTTCAAATAGAAAAATATATTTTCAATGCATTAATACATATTAAAAGAGGACTTTTAGAAAATGTGTACTTAGTATTTATGCAGGAGGTTTATAATCTCCAGAAACAGATACTATATGATCTAAATTGAAATCTCATACACACATGTACAACCCTACGTTGTATAACTGCTTTACACTCATTGAAGTCCAATTTACTTTCATTAGTCTATTATTCATAATTGATCTTGTATGATGAAGATGGATCATATTTAATTGTCGTTTGGTTGCCCAAATTAGAGTTCATGCTGAAATGTTAAATGAATTACCCCTGAATACAGGATTTAAGTAACATTTTAAAAATTTTTCCAATTTCATCAAATAGCCGATAATTTATTCCCAATTCCCCAAAAATGGTGTTTCCCAAAATAGGCTGATAAATCCATGGATAATAGTTAGACCAATTAAGTGTTGAGAGATACATCTTAGTTGAAGTAACGCTGACCCGTATTTCACTGGATAAGTTCAAATGTGTATAAAACATTTGTTAATTTATAGAAGTAAATTCAATATACAAATCTTTGCAAATTTCATACTCAATTGAGATCAAATTAAGCCCTTTGAATTACTAAGAAAATAATGAGCATTGCCTACTGTGCAGGTACATAACAAAAATTTAAAGAAAGACTTGATTGAGAAATTATTAGGCTTTTGTGCCGCAGGTTGAACATTAAATTTGATAGCTGCATGATCAAATTATTATAACCTTTATTTCAATGTCAATTACTTTTGATATTGTTAAACAATTAAATTGTATTTTTCTTCAATCTAAATTTAATTTAAATTTGGATCCTTATTTTTAGTTTGTGGGCATACCAAGGTTTATAACACATCACTTATCACTGAAGAGCACAAAAAGAAGTTGAACATCATGAACCATGCACTGACTGACAAACAAAAATCAGAACTATATGTAAATGAAAATGACATTCAGTCTAAAGTTAGAAATGAATCAAAATTGAATAAAAAGAGTTATGTGATCTAGACAATAAAACTTAAAAGTACTATTGACGTGTATTATTATTATTAAAATAAACATTGCTGGTATTTTAAAATGAAACTGTTGAATCCTAAATTATTTTTATTTTTATTTTTCGACCACCCAATGCATTTTTTTGAGACAGAAAATCGTAAACCAAAAAAAAATAAAAACTTTGGCCTTAGTGCAAGACCTGTTAAAACCTTCGGTAATTCAATGTTCGCAACTTGGGTTATTTTGGTATGAACCAATATCTTTCGAATAAATCTATTTGATTCCAATCAGAAAATAACATTTAAATAAATTCAAAACGAAATACAATTTTGTACAGCTAGCGCAAATTAAAAACACTTTACATGTAAAGCGTTGTATTTTTAAGCAGGAATAGCGTATTTTTCTATAGAGTAGAATTTATAAATGAAACTACGGTTCTCAAATTTTCCGCACAAGAACAATTACATTTTTGATAACATTCAGTGCATTAGTCTTTAAAGAAGAAGAAGAAAGATGCAGGTTTACGGAAACAGTGATTTTTAAAGATCGATTTGGGGTCCCAATTGAAAATACATGTATGCCTGTAATTTCACAAAGTGTAATGATAGTTTTCCCAAAGAAAAACGTACGAAATATGTGATCAAATTCAATTTATTTCTCAGTAAAGTTCAATCCATTTTCCCTGATCAGCCATGTCGGATTCCTTCATTATTTAGATAATACAGACCACTATTGTTCTTGATATAAGTAATTAGATAATTCATACTAAGAATAGACTTGCTGTTATAAACAATCGTTTGTAAAAGTAATACAAAGACAAAAACGTTTTTTGACAATGCTTTTTTATATGACTGAGCTTTCTCGACCCCCCCCCCCCTTAATTTTAGCCTAATTGATGCTGAAATTCCCAATTCTGAGGGCCCTAGGCCCGACTACCAAAGTACATTAAAAAAAAAACCACACTGGGAAAAAGAACCTGTAACGCAAAATCGAAATTGCGCGAATCAATACAAACATTAAATTAACTCAATTACAAGAATGTTGAAATGAAAACAAGTCACATCAGAATTATGTTTTCCCATTAAATCACTTGAAATATTTCATTCAGTTTGATATCAGACGACACGCTTTGTCGAAAATAAATAGATAACATTTTTAACATATATGTCGAGAAGCTAAAATGAGCTGCAAATATAAGAAGCAGACGTATTTCGGGGTGTTAAGTTTAAAATATTCTTTGTCTATTGTAAATATTATTAAGTATGCATAATTAATGTACTTTTGAAAATGGTCAGAATGAATGTAAGATTAATAAATTTAGACAAATAATTACGGGTAAAAAATTTGCTTCGGAAAAAAAAAGAAACCGTAACGTTACCAACATCGGCGGTAACATCAAAATGCAAAATGCATACTGTTACATGTATTTTCTTTTTCGGAAATGTTCAGCGCTCAATGCATATGAATGAGTTTATAGCAACACAAGATAATAAGCTTTTAAAGTATGTCCGTACATTTTGTCTAAAACAATCAAATGATGAAGATTGTCCCCGAGTCCTCCCTGATGTTAACAAAAGATTGAAGATAAGGGGGGGGGGAGGGTTCAAGATTACTTCCACCACATATTTTTCATAGTATATCTCCGTCAGCCGCATCTTTTCCATACCACATGTACTAGAGAAAAAACTTATTATTTTAACTTCTCCCCCTTTTTTTGTCCAGGAAGCTGTGATTTCAATATTTGAAAAAGAACAAATGCAAATGTCTGTATTGGAACTTCAATCAAACCTTCTCGAGCCTTTGTTGAAATTTTACATTCCTAATCGCAGTATTTAACAAGGTACATGTATGATACATTGTGCAGAGTCGTTTTTCACAATCTTAGCTGTTTTTGAAACCAGTGTACACACTGAAATTAATGTGTCTGCAAAGTTAAATTTACAAGACTGGTCACAGGAATCCAAGCTGCCGAGAATGTAATTTCCCCTAGTAACTTTCAATCTTGCATTTTTAACTAAAAACTGATCATGAAATGCAAGGGGCAACTCAAGAGGTAACGCAAATTGGATATTTTTAATCAATGCTGCGCCACTTGCCGCAGAATCAGAAATGACAAGCAGCGTGTTGTATGCTCTTTACAATGCACCCAGTACACGCAATCAGTGTGCAAGGAGAAAATTACCATAGCAAATCAATAAAGAACACTTTTCCATACTTCTCAATGGCTGTATGGATTTCAATTTGATTGACTGGTATGCAGCAGTTGCATTTTTCGTTGTTCTCTTTCTTATTTGTTATATTTTTGACATTTGTCTTGTGTGCAAAAAGTTTAAAGTTCTACTCCTGAGTCTGACAGCTGTAGAAGACTTGGTACGAGACACATTATATACACATACGCTTATAAATACTACTAACGCTAATAAATACAACTAGTCGTGCATTCAAAACCACTCTACAAAATGTGTCACCCAGCATTTTGGCAGTTTTTAGCAGCAACTGCTGGTAATATCGAACTTTCCTGAAGCTTTCATAAAGTACAACCTTAAATACTAAAACCGCAACAACACTGTTTTGTAAAAAAAAAAATGTGTCTTTGCATTTCTTGAAAAGAAACATTTAAATCGTTTTGCTATATTTCATTGCAAAAAAGAACCCCTCTTTATTTTTCCTCCCCCCCCCCCAGGACAGATTGGGAATATTATAAGCAAAAAATTACATTATATGAAAATGCAAGCTAATTTTTTTGAATTTGTTTAAGAGATGAATTTAATTTTTGAGTATTCATGAGGACATGAACTACGACGCTTCACGCCTGCATGTTTCATGAAGTGCTTTAGCGCTTCATGATAAATATGCAGGCGTGAAGCGTTGTAGTTCATGTACATGTACCTCATGAATTCTCAAAAATAAAATTCATGTCTTATATTTACATAATTTTTCTGATGACTTGCCACATATTTTTGTCATTCAACTATCATTTTTTGAAAAAAAAAAAGTTTGCACTATTTTTTTTACTTCAATCACGTCACAATGGAAATATTCTTACTCATCCCACGGTAGTTCATGAGAACATGAACTTTTTCTAATATGCAAAGAATCTTAAGGAAAAAATATTTGGAAATGTAAATATAATCTCGTAAACTATTCTTTGTAAGCGAATATATTTTCACAGAAATACATGGATAAAAAATACGAATATCTGTATAACCACGCTGTCGCCATTTTATCATGTATGTATCGGTGTCAAATGTTTTGCACAAGAGAGAAACTGCACATTAAATATTGGACAATAATGGCTGATTATACCGCTAATTAGAAACCTTACGCTAACGATCAGCCCTTTGATAGCTCCTGATCATGTAAAATTGGATGTTTTAAAAGTATAATTTATGGGAGAATCCACATAATTTCTAAGATAGCAAAAGATAACATATTTGCCAAAATACTCGATATTATAACCCACGTGCCACAAATCACCTACCCAAGTATAAAGCGGGACTAATAGGATTTTGGCACGAACAGGTAACTAGTGGGACAGATCGAATTTTGTCAACAATGAAAACACAACTGTTGATGTGATCAATATCGATAATTTCATTATTACATTTACCGTAAAATTTATCGTATACTATCGACACAGATGGAGTGCTTGGTGTCTCAGCTGGGAAGATGGCCAGGTGTCGGAACTGGAGATAAATAAACGTTATCTTAGTATAGTCGACAAAATACAGAGAATCACACATAGATATTTTACAATGACTTCCTTTTATATCAGGTATTCAATAAACAATTTCCTCTTAAAACCGTGAGGTTCATAACATCACTAATACACCAGCAAATAATATCTATTGGGATTCTAGGTGTATGCATAATGGTTGCTAGATATCGAATTTCACTGCCTATAGCTAAGAGAAGAAAAACAAATAGACAAAATCTCGAATGTTGGTCAATCATTATATGAAAAACACCTTATCTCCTTATCCGGTATTTACAAATTATATGCTGTATAATTTATTGAAAAATGACCGTAAAACCGTCTATCTTTCCACCTGAAAAGGTGTACATACTGTATCTCCTCTTGCATAAGGCATCGAGTTTTGAAACAGAAACCAGAAAATAATTTGAAATATTTGTGGCTTATAAGAAGTGCACAGGGAAAGTTGAGTCTATCTTTATAAGTAGATGCTGTCCTAATACAGTAATACATGTACATAAGTCGAGTCTATCTTTATAACTCTTTATCAAGACAGTACTACATGTACAAAGTGGAGTCCATCTCATAATTAGATGTTGTCATAAGACAGTAATACATGAACATAAGTCGAGTCTATCTTTATAACTCTTTATTAAGACAGTAATACATGTACATAAGTCGAGTCTATCTTTATAACTCTTTATTAAGACAGTAATACATGTACATAAGTCGAATCTATCTTTATAACTCTTTATTAAGACAGTAATACATGTACGTAAATCGAGTCTATATTTAGATGCTGTCATAAGACAGTAATACATATACATAAGTGGTGTCTATCTTTATAATTAGATGCTGTCATAAGACAGTTATAAATTTACATAAGTTGAGTCTATCTTTATAACTATAGATGCTGTCATAAGATGATACATGTACATAAGTTGAGTCTACCTTTATAACTAGATGCTGTCAATAATACAGTAATACCTGTACATGTACATAATTTGGGTCTATCCTTATAACTAGATGCTGTCAATAATACAGCAATACCTGTACATGTACATAATTTGGGTCTATCCTTATAACTAGATGCTGTCAATAATACAGTAATACCTATACATGTGCATAATTTGAGTCTATCCTTACAACTAGATGCTGTCAATAATACAGTAATACCTGTACATGTACATAATTTGGGTCTATCCTTATAACTAGATGCTGTCAATAATACAGCAATACCTGTACATGTACATAATTTGAGTCTATCCTTATAACTAGATGCTGTCAATAATACAGTAATACCTGTACATGTACATAATTTGAGTCTATCCTTATAACTAGATGCTGTCAATAATACAGTAATACCTGTACATGTACATAATTTGAGTCTATCCTTATAACTAGATGCTGTCAATAATACAGTACTGTAATTCCTGTACATGTACATAATTTGAGTCTATCCTTATAACTAGATGCTGTGATAAGGCAGTAATACATGTACATAAGTTGAGTCTAACTTTATAACTAGATGCTGTCATAAGACAGTTATACCTTTACATAAGTTGAGGTAATCTTTATAACTTGATGCTGTCATAAGACAGTAATACCTGTATGTGTTTACCTTTAAATATACTCTCTTTCATACCTGGACAACTAGCGAAGAAGCCACAATAATTCTATAATTCACGTAAATAAACATGTTCATGTATCAAATTGAACATAAAACGTCCAAGTTTTTCAACCCCTGATTGTCCTTTGATGAGAATGTAAACTATTTGATGCTTATTTACAGGACACCACTATCATACTCCAAACGACGCATTTGCTACTGTTTAGATTGTTAGTGGAGTTTGAGGAAAAAGTTAGTTTGACAGACGGACAGGGATTAGAAATGTATACCCGAACCTTCTTTTTTGTAGGAAGTGTAATTAATATGAATTGACAAAATGGGCGTGTTTACTTTCAATGAAAATTAATCCATATCTCACACTAGTTATGTCGATAACCGGCAAAATACACTAATGCTCCAGGTTATTTGTGCGTACATAGAGAATACCTAGACAAAAGCATATACTGATACTAAATTATTCATTATGCCTCTTACTTTCGTGGAAACTATAAATGTTACTTATCAATTGTAAAAGCAACAAGTCTACGGCAACAATTTAAAACATACTTTTACGGGTACTGAATTTAGTTAACAGAGCATAGCTAATCAATACCATCGCACGTCTGTAAACAGTATCTTGTCAGGAACTTGATTCCGATTATTTAACTATCTCATGAGCGAGACTTTCGTATAACATATCAGTGCTAAAAAATGAACGAATTTTAATTTCTCATAAATAGTAAATGACAGGTAAATGTACTGCTAAACTTCCTAATTGTATAATTTTAGGTCATCTGATGGGGAATGAAGGATTTTATTGGTGGACTCTACATGACACCTCCATGAATTCCCACATCCGATCCTACAAATCATCATATCCTTAACCCTACCCCTCCTATTAAGCTATCACAACGATTACACAAAGTAGAAAAGTCTGTCAACTATGATATACGTACTATAGATGATCAACCGTCATCTATTGAAGTGTAGCCCATGGAATGTGCAATAGCGTTAACTCTTTACACATTCGATATTTCAGATAAATGACAAATTAAGTTAGAGTTGTCAATATTTTCTATTGCTAAAGATAAACATCTGCTTCACTTTTCTCTCTCGTGATAGGTCTGCTCTTGAAAATTAATTTATGGAAGGGCCAAATCTACAATGTAACTGCTGAACATATAGTTTTCTGTAATATTATTTCTCCCTACCCGTGTAAGATCGAAGAACATTAAGCTCTGTGGACCAGCGACAGAATATTTCTATTCTTAATCGTTTCCCCTGGGAACTTGTATATATCTCATAACTCTGCTGTCTAATGCGACAGAATCAACATAATATTATTTTGCATCTGATCAAATGATTCATGATTATATATTTGGGTAATTTGTGGAGTTTCATTCACCCAAACCCCAACCAGCGATTGGAAACACGATGCGATCAATAATAAACTCATTTGCTATGCTGGTCCTGGCATCGAGCTACTGAACCACTATTGATGTCTATCCGGGCTTTTTCAGGGCGCAGGATTTTACTCTCCGCTATTAAATCGACAAAAAGCTTTCCAATTTTTTGAAAAATAAGTATCTGGAGTGAGCGGTGTTTATAATGAGTCTTTAGCAGTCCTGGTGATTTCTAATTGACGTCGTCTTTCGATCTCTCTCCATAGTCTAGCATCTGTGTCGTATGGGAAATCTACGGAATAAATATGGCGGAATCCGGAGCGCTTCCATATCCTTGGGTTCGGTTCTTGGACCACTGATGTTTATTTCATAGGAATAAAAACTTCTAATGGAAGGTTAGTACCCGTTAATATAAAAATATTCATTCTTAATAATATCTTTAAAGTAAAAGATCTTTCTCAAGATTAAAAAAATGTTGCGTGTGACTTTTGCAGATATTATTCTTTTATACCGTTCAAAAGGTGTATTCTTGATCCGTTCTCCTATTTGATTTTTAATTAATTGAGATTTTTTGTAAGGGATATTCGTGTCGTCGATCGTTCTATTGCATTAGCGTGTCCGAGGCTGTCTATGACATCCTGCTATACTGTTGTGAGCATTGCGTGTAAATAAGTACCACACCTTCTAAGACTCGGCTTCCATATCATTGTACATGGACACCACACATCTTTTAATTATGAACACGTCTATAACTGTAAGAAATTTGTCAATATCTTAATATACAACAAAAGTAAATATGAATATGATTGTTAGGATGCAAATACAGCAAATTTTGGCCGTAAAACATAGTTCTGGACAATACCTGTATTTATTAATAGAATTTATCCATATATTATAAAAACCGTCAACTGTAACAGTATGCTGATGTAGTGTATACGACAGACAAGTGTACATTCGATATAATCCAGGAATTATTGTGGGGTTATGTGGTCCATTTATTACCAGATTACAAATAACGGTAATCAGAGATGGTCTATAGCTATCACTTTAAAACAGTTTCTGTGGGGATTGGGAATCTCTATAAGTAGCACAGAAAAGTGTACTTATTTTCCGAACAACTCGTTAACAAATATAAGAATCAATGATGAAGGGTGTCCCTCACACTCCTTCCAGTGTTATTAATGTTTAAAGATTATGACACGTCATCAATCTCGACCCCATAGAAGTCCAAAAAGTGATCCATCAGGTAAACAAACCTCAATTATAGTCTTAATCTATAAATTAAAAGTACAGTATTGTTCAGGGATTGGTTTGCTCATTTTATAAATTAAAATTTATAAAAATTCTACTCGACATTAGTTAAAAATTAATTTTTTAGTGTTGGTGTAATTAAGTAATGATGTAACTGAAATTTTCTGTCAGTTGTCTCGTATGTATTAAGGTACAAACTATAATTTTCTTCTCATCACTAAAAGTAAATTTTGGCCGGAACTTCTAGAAGTAGTACTATCCTCGTGAGGTTTCATGTGACATCCTTCAGAATTTTATAGTGTCAAGTACACTAAATCATTCTAAACATGTTGAAAGGAATGTTCATGCCCTTATCTGTACTATCCTTTTATTGAATTGAACAAATTTGACTAATCCTTCTTAGATCACTTAGGTGTTCATACATTGATTATTCTCTGTCCATTGCATGACACTGCACAGAACGGTTTTTTACTTCCAGGGGGCATCATAAACTTGAGTTTTTTAAAATTATTATTTATAAAATTAATTGTGGTTCTTATCGACCTTTTTTCTATATCTTTTGAAAGGCTAGTAAATGTTAAATTGATGACTTTGTGATGCACTTTAAAGAAAAAAATTGGTAAAAAACACAGAATTATCCTGTATATAACACGCCCGATTTACCACTATATATATCAATATTCGGAAATTATCCCTCTCTATTTAAAGGAAGTTTAACAGCTCAACCATATTATCAGTATATGAAACTGAAATCTTTTCAGCTTGAGAAATTTCATCATCACGGCTCCAATAATTTAACGCCCCTCCGTTTATCTCAGATCCCCCTCATGAAAACACAATGGCTAGCTTTGGCCATCATAATCAATTGACATAAGTCGTATATACCAGGTTTACCACCGCCTACTGAATTTTTAATTGCGTATGCTTCGCTCGCCGACCAGCAAAGCAATGTAACAAATATCAGGGGTATTCTCGCTCTTCCGTTTACACCGTTCTACAGCGTAGACCGAGCCCGATCAATATCAGTACAAACACATTCAAACTTGTTTTGTAAAAAAGATGTTCCAATTGATGTCATATCTGATTACTATAATGGTGGAGAAACATATCTCTGCCAAAAAATTCTGATATTCT